GATCCGCGATTAAGACAGAGGTTGTCAGTTCTCCAGGATCGAACTCAGCACCTCTAGTTCAAAGCCAACTTTTCTGCCACTGTGCCATTGTTGCAAGCCAAGGCGGTCTTGTTGTGGAAATCGTTGAATCAGGCGGTGAAGAACTAACCAAGCTGTTAGCTTCCTTGTTTCCACGTTGTCTGAAGGAATTAAAAATTCTAGTCAATCAGACCACCTCAGTGATTCTGCTGTACAAAAAGGGAGACAGAGAATGCGAGGAAAAAAGGTTGATCAGTTTGTTTCCAAACATCTACAAAATCTCTACTACGGTACTGACGAACAGACGTCGAGGACCATACGAGGTCAAATGAGAACGCAGGAATAATCAATTTAGTATAACGAATCATTTCAAAGTGATCAACAACTAGTTCGGAAATGCAACGAGCATAAGTTTCCTCTCTGCTTCGGGTTCGTCGACCTCGAGTAGGCATTCAGTTCAGCCTACACCTGCGGATGTCATCAAAAGGCAAAAAAGCAAGAATACAGGCAGAGACCTAATGGCAATATTGTACGAGAAAGAATGTGCTATTTTGGAGCTTCGCAAAAGTATAAACAAGTTCAAGCTTGAAAACAGCGTCTGGTATCGTGATGCCATATTAGTAAAGTTATTCACTGCAGCCCTAGAAGAGGTTTTCAAGACACAACAACGGAATAATTACAGTTTGAGGACACATGGGCAAGCATTGTTTAAGCCATATGCGGATTGCTTTATATTCTTAAGGTTTCCAAAAAAACTCCACACGGGAATCGAAGGCTAGCATTAAGACATCACTAAATATAAGCATCAATGAAGAAGACTGTTTACTAAACATGAGGCCTCGCGACTTATTGAGGTTAGCGGACTTCGGTTAGGAGTGGTGCAAAACCAGTCTACCTGGGATACCTCACCTTTGCAGCGAAGAGCCCACTGTGAAATCAACGAAAGAATAAAAATGGCGTGAAGTACTTTTGAAAGACTGAAAATGTTTCTATTTTGGAAACTGCTTTTGTGCTCGAAACGGACAGTGTGCGGTCCTAGTGCTAACTCATGGGTATGAATCATGGAGACTCTACAGGTGAAATGTGTTCATAAGCTACCGGCTAGCAGCGCAGCATGGGACGATATATGCTGGAAATAATTGGAAAGAATAGGAAGACGAATGAATGGATGACAGCACAAGCGACAGTTAAGCGATGTCACTGCAAGAGTGAAGAAGCCGAAGTGGAAACGAGCAGGACACGTTGCTGGAATTACCGAACATTGATGGATCTGCGAAACTTTAGGCTGAATCTATGGCTCGTACGAAAATCTTAAGCTGGATTTCAGGATAAACTGAGCAAGATTGACGGATCAGCGAGGATTAGAACAGCAAAAGGCAGAAGTCCATGGTAGAGTCTTTGAAAGACCTTCATTTAGCAATGCATCGACAGGGTCGAACCGGGCATCTCTCAAGTACAACGCAATGCGTTATGTCTGTGCTGTCCCCAGACTTGAGAACCAGACAGCCACTAAATTTGAACTTCTATTAGGCAACCGTAAATTAGCCATCATTGTTTTGGCACGTTAAACAAAAGATCACTGCTTCGCTACCCGTTACCCTGCATCTGATTGCTAACATTTGAGTGCATGTAGCCGCTATGGGCTATTTTCGAGCTTTCGTTTTTTCTATTTTTTTACCAACTGTAAATTTCAAGCTTGTCTCGTCCCTTCCAAACAGATAAAAACGAAAGTGCAAGTGTGTGGCGGCGCTGTGATACGTTTTTAACGCTTTTTTGGGTAATGAACAACTGTTCCACACTCTGGTTCCAAATAAACTGTTCATGCGCTCAACGTCTTAACGCTCCCTTTGACACACAGTGGCTATAAAGAACAATAAACCCTTGTAAATTTACGGAATTTTTGAATATGCAATCCTGCTTGTTATTCACCTTCACAAACAATAGGCCTGGCCATTTTATGCACTACTTTCTTACAGGTGTCAAATCAAAATCTGTGAGGTAGGCCTGGCTCGCGAGAGGCACTCAAGCGAAAACCTCGCGTTTACAAATCAGCAAGGTTTTATGCATCTCTGGGGATACGGCTACTTGGACATTGCATATAAGGTAGAGTCCAAAAAATTCGCCCTACTCACCGCACAGCCTCAATGTCACGTCTACCAAGGAAACGAAACAAGGATCTCATTGCAGCCATAATGCTCCTACTTTCCACCTTACAAAGATGCAGCTCCGGCCAGGTAACTTTTGACGGATAGGCCTTTATATATATATATGTGTGT